GTATCTCTGGCGCTGAGGACACGCGCGGCTACCATGTTTTAATGGAGTTTAATGGTGTCTTAGGCTGTAAAGATCCTATCGATCAATTCAAGGTGTATGCCAATTTTGACTTCCAGGATGAGCTCGATACGATTGATTTTCGGGTTCGCTTGAGGCTCCCACAAGACATGGCCAACGGGAATGGGAATTGTCCTATTGCTCATTCCGCAGGTTTGGATGTATCTCATGTATCCTCAGAGGAAGATTCCGATGATGAACTCGACTCGACCACTTCTGCGGCTGGCAGCCTCATCGAGAACGAAATGAGACGCAAGGTAAATGGCATGATCTTACCAATTTAAGACAGGCTCTAACGTCATTAGTACGACGAGTTTTGGAGAAGTTGTGGCGTAGTGGGAATGTAAACCAGTGTTTTGATGCCCTTTTCTTACATCCACAACACTAAGAAAATCTGAAATGTTGAAGTAGGGGAGCACTGGTCTTGAAGGTGGATTGATGGAGAGGCAGCCATGGGTTGCGTGCAATGAGCCGATGGGTGGGATGGCTGCTACAGATTGTTATTTTCACTTACTATACCACAATCATCCTGTTGAAGTTTGCCCTTGTGCCGCGTTGTTTTCCCTTTCCCAGACAGCCGCTGGAGAGAAAGACCCTGCAGTTCTGTTGTTGCTGTGGTGATTGTGCGTGGTTGTATGAGTTGAGATTGTCCATCGTCGTCGAGTCGGATCGACCTACCAGTGACGGCCCCGAAGCGCCCGCCCGAGGCACCTGTCAGGGAAGGTCCAGTTACTTTCAGAGTCCTACATTCCAGCTGGCGTCACGCCTACTAGTAAATGAAGGCGGTCAATGTACTGGCCGTACCGTGAAGTCAATTCGCCTGCTATTAACGACAGCCCTGCAGTTACTTTCAGAGGGGTCCGCACTTGACCGCCCTGTCGGTACAGCCCCCGAAGCGCGCTACCTAGATGGCTGCAACCCGACCGGCGCCCGCTGTGCTACGATCAAAAGGCCTGAGAACCGATCGAGCTGCTAGTGATGGTTCCCAAACGCCCACAGGCAATGCTACTGCTAGACGAGTCCGCTCCCGATCGGCTTGTTCGTAATAGGTAATGTCCGAAACCGTCACCTCGACAACTCTATCCCCACTGGCGTCTGTCGTCCGCCAGAGGCCCAAATGTCCACCGTTGGAACTACGCGCTTCCAGCCGCTTCTGGCTGTTGGGGTAAGGCCTTCCCAGGCCACGCGACAAGGATCTTGCTTGCTCTTCGCTTTCTCCCCGTCCTGCCTGCAAGATCCGTCTTTTTCTCTTGCAAGGTCCTTGCCTGCTACCCCATTTCCCCTTTCAGCAAAATCCAGATCTAGCTCTTGTTTAGAGCTACTTTTTCTTTCCACCCCATGCATACCCTGTCTGCAGGATCCATTACCGGTTCCTCCTGCGGATTCCAAGGCTGGGAGTCTTGAAATCAACTTTTGACGCCAGAGCAATTACATGCTGCTAAGAGCCTCTTCTGGCTTTTGAGACTAGGCACCCCCAGCCCGCAACAAGAAGCTTGCATGCACCAGCACATCGACCGTCCGCGAAACTTACACCAAGCTCCTTCTAGCAGCCGGTCTCGACCCTCGGAGGTAGGAATTCTCAAGCCTGGAAGAAGGATGCTGCTTGTTCCGATAAATGGCATTTTCTTAAGATCTGTATCTGGCTTCATTCACTTTACTGGAGAGTCGAGATCCAGGAGTTGGCATTCAGTGCCGCTGCATCCACGTTGTTGGTGGTCTCTTCGCTTGCTTACCTAGATCCCCTGTCTTGGGCATCCGTATCCCAGCCACACACCAAGGACCTTACCGACCACTCGGTTTCCCATATCGAAAAAGTCGGATTTGGCTCTTGTTAGGCGCTATTTGCAATGTCCGCAAAATCCATTTCCAATTCCCTTCAACCGGCTGAGTTTGGAGCGAGATTATCCCCAGCCACGCGACAAGGATTTTGCTTGCTGAGTCACGTTCCCTGTTGGCAAGATCAAAATCTGGTTCTTTTAGAAGGTCATTTCTCACTTTTGGATTCCGGCTTTGGGGGCTTTGGAAGATGATCTCCCCAGCCACGTCACTAGGCTCTTGCTCTGTTGAGTAGAAATGGATGCCAAGACCTAGAGATCCAGCTTCAACGTCGCCGCCACGATGAGGCAGGTGCCAGTTCTGGCCTTTGATGGAGGATGTCCTCAGCCACGTCCCCAGCCATACAACAGGGGCTCTCCTTGTCCCATTATCTCCCCTGTCTACACGATACACATCTGACTCCAGCTGGTCTTCCCAGCCACGCAACAAGAAGCTTTCTTCCTCTGCTACCTACGGTGCCTGCAACACTCATATCTGGTTCTATATTGAAAAGTCCGGAACATGCTTAGAGCCTGTTGGGCTCCCAAGAGCCCAAAATGAGTTATCCAAGCTACACGGCGAGCACCTTGCTGTGCCGTGTATGGTCCCCGTAGAGACCCATTTCCGGCTCCTATTAATTTAGCGGAAAGCCGTCGCCCGAAAGCCAGTTTTGGCGCACCTGCGACAATCACGCGGAAGTCATTTCTGGCTTTTGGTCGACAGTCTTCCCAGCCGTCTAACGAGGAGCTTTCTTGCTCTACCAAGTGTTCTATCTGCACAATCCATGTCCAGCTTCTGCAGGACCAGGTTCTGACCTTTCATGGAAGGCGTTCTCCACCATCCGAACACGACTCCACTTGCTTTGCTACATCCCCGACTGCAAAATCCATTTCGAGATCCCAGTAGGCAGCAGCCTGCGAAACGGCAAGAGGGAGGTGGTCCAGCTGTGCGAACAACTCAAAAACAGCGTTCTTCTCGTCGGCAGCAACATTCTCATTTCTTGACGCCTCGAAAAGCGCCAAAGCCTCACCAGTGTTCATACGGCCCACCGACACCCCCCGTCGAGCACCCACAAGGCTGCCTACAATCCGCTTGTCGCGGCTCGTCCAGAGTACGGTGCCGACAGGCGCCCGGGGAAGATAGTCGTCCAAGCATATTCCTTCAGTCGTAGCTTGTGTGTTCGCCGTTCTCCTTCCGACGCCAAAGATGCTGAGGTTATCTGCGTTGTCGACAACAAGCAACCAGCGAGGCTGCGCCTCGATCCACTCGCGCACCGCCCTGAGCAGCTCCTCGCCTTGGAATCTGTCTGTAAGCCCGGCCCTCCTCGCAAGCGCTTCGTAGTCTTGTGTGAACGTCGCTTCGTTGTCTGCGTGAACCCAGTAAACAGAGCAGTTCGTTTCGCGGAACCGGCGGTAGGCAAACTCGAGCGCTATCTGTGTTTTCCTACGACAGTCAGTGCTCTGTGCCTCGAAGAAGCCAGAGTAGCCTACCCAGAGCCTCCCAGACCCCAGAGAGCGGCGCTCTGATATTCAGTGACGGGCGGGAGGAGAGCGTCGAGTTTGGCGAAGACATCAGGGCGGTCAATAATGTCGTTGTTGCGCTCGAAGGGGATGATGAAGAGGGGTCGTGTCACTGTTGTTGGTGGGCCTAGACACTTCAGTTTGTCTTCAGGCGCGGGGTAGTGCCATGCTTACGACCGTCAGAAATTGTGACGTTTAGCGTCCCGCCCGTCTCAACACGGGCGCCGGGGAATGCGATATGTCCAGTCGTCGATCCGAATGAAACCTGCCCATCCATAGCGGCAAGATCGAATGCAATAGAGGACAAATCGAACGGTTAGTTGCAACGTCGGAAGTTGTGAAATGGACATCAGTCGCAGAAAGATTAAGAAATCAGGCTGACTTGGCCTGCGGGCACAGCCAACACGTGCTACTCCAGCCTTGTCGTAACCTGCAGCATCACAATCTTCCACCTGTCAGTTTCACTAGACCGCGAATTATCACCATGGCCACCCATCCAAGCCGTCGCAACGAGTTTTCGATCGTTATGGTGTGTGCTCTGCCGCTGGAGTATGATGCTGCGGCGCTTGCTTTTGACGAATCTTGGGACGATGATGGCAACACGTCTGGGACGGCGTAGGGTGTGATCCGAACACCTATACGACCGACCGAGTCGCACAATACAGCGTCACCCTGACGCTGCTCCAAATATACAATCCAATTCGAGTGTACAAAATCCCAAGTACTGCGTCTCACTGCCACGCATGAATTCTCCGTGAATGACGGAAGCTAGGCCTCCTTCCGACTCATGGAAAGCGCATTCTTGAAACAGCGTTCTGGAAGCGACTTAGCCCTCAGATGTACATCGTCGGGTGGATTACTGGTCTACGGAGTGATGGGGTGGAATGTAGCCAGCCCGTTGCAGTAAAAGCGCCTTGCGATGTGGCGCAAGCCGGCCCGTCGTCCCACTCGACAATTTCCACGAGGTTCTTCGCTGGGCCGCAAGGGATACGGTAGGGGACGCCTGGACCAATGAAATCAATACGAATATAACATGCATTCCATCATTGTGCAGCGCGTTTGAGAAATGGGAATTGCTGCTTCTCTCTCGGCACGAAAGTCTTCACTGTGTGATGACATACATGTTGGCATCCTCCCAGCTTCCACTATCAAAGTCAAGAATCAAAGAATGCACTACCACTTGTGCCCAAGATGTCTCCATGCTTCTTGAGGCAGCCCAGTTGTGGACAACTACTGCGCCAGACGCTTCGGACACGAGCGGTAGGAACGCCTTATCGCCTTGTCCAGTGACAACCAGCTGGTGATGCACCCAACGAGGCGACGCCGCCACGCTTATGTTGCCAGCCTCATTGGCGCGCACAGCCGGTCCACCGCCCTCACAACTATGCCTTACCGGAGGCTGCCCAAGTGGAGCGGCGCATCGGATGGATGCGCTAGCAAACACAGCGACATGGTAGAAATGACAGCAGTACACGTGGTAAGCATCAGGCAGACGAATGCCATTGTATGCAGCTGTGTTCGGATGACAGGTTGCGCCATAAATCTGCTTTCATGTAGAAAACACAAACCCCGCCTTCCATCAATCGCGACAACCTCACGCGCGCAACCATGGAACCGGTAGGACTGGCTGTCGGCGTCGTGGGCCTAGCCGGCCTCTTCAGCTCTTGCTTGGAAGCTGTTGAAAAGTTCGACTCGTACAAAAACTTTGGCCGCGATTCACGTTCTCTAGCCACTCTGTTCGACGCCGACAAGCACCGCTTCGAGCAGTGGTGTCGCGCTGTCGGCATCGAGAAAGGGAAGTTATCCGACACGCACCACCCCGCTCTCGATGATGCGAAAAACATGGCGATAATTCACAAACTCTTTGCCAGCATCCGAGACTTTTGCAGCGGCGAAGATGACGCCCTCAACCAGCAGCCCACCCCAGCAGACAGCAAAATCTCAAAAGACGGTTTTCTCTCCACACGGCAAGGCCAGCTTCGCCATGGCGCGCTTGTGGACTCGAAGTGGCGGAAGGCCGCTTGGGCACTAACCGGGAAAACAAAGCGCGCAGGCCACGTTCAGATGTTTGCGACCCTGGTGCAGTATCTGTACAGTGTGGTTCCTCCAGACGACACAAAGGGTACACCATCAGGACATGGAGCACGTAACTATGACTCTGCGCACCTACACGGTTCGGACAAACGCCCCGAACCACTGCCTAGCATATTGATCTGACAGTGCTAAAGATACTCATCTAGTCGACAGTCCTTTGTTTGATGAGATTCGAGCGTTCCTGCGCCAGGCAGAAGAAGAGACGAAAGGTACTGATGCCGTGACCCGCGCCCTCGATCTCTAGCTAACGGCTGCAGCCGAAACAAAACGGGACCTGCGCGCTTGGCTTGGTTGCCCGTCCCCGAACGATCTATACGACGACTCCATCCAGAAGCGGCTGGACGGCACATGTGAGTGGATACTGGCGCGGACAGAGTTTCGCCAGTGGCTTTCGCCCGATGCTCCACCTGGTGCTTCGAAGCTGCTGTGGATCAACGGCCCGGCGGGGTATGGTAAGACGATCCTTTGTGCCAAACTAGTCGAAGTTATTTCATCCACGCCTCAGACACCCACCGCGCATTTCTTTTTATCATCCAAGTCCGAGGGCCGTGACGACCCATTCTTAGCGATACGGTCGTGGCTAGCAGCGATAACATTTCAAAACCAGGCTGCTTTGAATGTGGTCCGGAAGAGACGCTTGGCACAGCATGAACAGGCCGCAACGCGAGCAACCATCATCCGACTCTTCCGTGAGGTTGTCCAGACCGTTCCGTGCTGTACGTTCATCTTGGATGGGCTGGATGAATGCACTTGGGTGGGGGGAGGCCACAGCGGCAGCCACTCTGTGGCCCGCTTTCTTGAAGAGCTTAGGCAAGCGATTGACGACACCACTGCTCGGGTTTTGGTGGTCAGCCGTAACGAGCCTGAAATCCGGCAGGGGCTCAAGCGATACTCGGGATTCAGCGAATACACGATATCACTGGAAGACGTATCTGCTGACAACATTGCCTACTCAAGAAGTATCGTCGACAACAAGCTGTCCAACAAGGACGAATCAATAAGACTCAGCATCTCCCAGAGAATGGCCGATCGCTGTCACGGCCAGTTCCAGTGGCTGAGAATGCAAGAAGACTTCTTGAGGAAATGGAGAAACCAGAAGCAGCTTGAAAGGGACATCGACGAGACCCCAGCCGGGCTTGACCGTCTTTACGACCGCAACTGGGAACGAATTGAGAGATTGCAAGATGTAAAAAGAACAAAGGCCTTCTCGTTGCTGCGATGGGCCGCATTTGCTCTGCGGCCCCTGACTGTCTGCGAGATCACCGAAGCTGTGCTCATCAATGAGGACTGCGACGACCTGCCAGTCGACGAATTGCCGGACTCTGTTGATGATGACTACATCGAAAGCGAAATCCTGGATCTCTGTGGATCCTTGATAGAAGTACGAGGCACTTTATCGGAATCTCCGGCTGGATCGAGGAAGATACACCTAGCCCATTTCTCGGTTAAGCAGTACCTGCTGTGTAAGATCCCGTCTCGGGGGGCGGTCTTGTTTGCCAACGAAAGCTTGCGCGCCTCCAACGAAGTCACCGAGGGTGTCCTCCTAGCCAAGCTATGTCTCCGCTACATCGGTTTCCAACGAGTTTGGGACGGAACACTTCATGAGGAAGAAGATCGAATCGGGATGTCTTTCCGGAATTACGCTGCGAAATATTGGCATCAACATACTGACGTCAGCAATGTAAACGACGAGGCGTTAGTGAAAGCAATGAACGCCCTCTTTGCCGGACGCGTTGAAACTTGGGACTCCTGGAGACAGTGGTTTGATGTCCATGGCGAGGATTTGAAACCGGAAGCGACAGAAACAATCTTACCGGCAAGCCCCTTATACTATGCTTCTTATTTGGGGTTAACAGGGGTGGTGAGGTTTCTCATTCATCATTGCAAGCAGGACCCGAATGAAAAGGCAAAGTCGGGAAGAGCAGCCCTCGAAATCGCATGCGAAAAGGGATACCAGGAAATAGCGCAAATGTTGCTTGAAGGGGGAGCAGACATTGATGTTGCTGGCCGTAGAGGACGAACACCGCTCTATGCTGCATCGATGAACGGCCATTTCGGCTTGGTTAAGATGATTCTCAAAAACGAAGGTAATGTGACACTTAGGAATACTCATGGATGGACGCCACTTAATACGGCATCAGACAGTGGCCATCTCGAGGTGGTCAAACTGCTTCTCGACAAGGGAGCAGACATCACAGTTGCTGATAACGATGGATGGACGCCGCTTCACGCAGCATCAGGCAGCGGCCATCTCGAGGTGGTCAAGCTGCTTCTCGACAAGGGAGCAGACGTCACAGTTGCTGATAACAACGGACGGACGCCGCTTCACGTAGCCTCAGGTAACGGCCATCTTGAGGTGGTGAAGCTGCTTCTCGACAAGGGCGCAGACATCACGGTCGCTGACAAGGACGGATGGACGTCACTTAAAGCAGCCTCAAGTAACGGCCATCTCGAGGTGGTCAAGCTACTTCTCGACAAGGGAGCAGACATTACGATTGCCAACAAGGACGGATGGACGCCGCTCTATCCAGCATCAGACAGCGGCCATCTCGAAGTGGTCAAGCTGCTTCTCGACAAGGGAGCAGACGTCAAGGTTGCTACGAAAGATAACCGATCACCCCTCTTATGGGCGGCAAAAAATGGACATGAGGCCGTTGTCAACATGCTGCTTGATACAGGTAAGGCTGACGTGGACTTGATCGACACAGAGGGCCGCACAGCACTTTCCTGGGCTGCTATGAAAGGCCAAGAACAGACAGTGTCAATCCTAGTCAAAAACAGCAGGAAAGCCCTCAATTTTCGAGACAACAAAGGCTGTACGCCACTCATGTGGGCACTCAAACGATCCCATCACATGGTGGTGGAAGCACTCAGTCAGGATGGGTGTTCAGTAGAAGAATCGTGTAAAGAACAGTTGGCTTTTCAGGCGTTCAATTCGTTGCCGGCCGCCATGTCAGAGCAGTTCTTTGCCAATATTGGTTATGCTGCTGTGGACGATTTCTTAGGACTTCAGGCACTGTTTCATAGGCATTGCGTACTTTAACCTAAAACATTTTCCTCGAGACCACAATAGTTATCAAAATGTGCTTTAATGATAAGGGCGGTCTATCCTACGCTATGGATTCATCTTGTCACCCTGTCTGGCCTGCCTTCACCTTCCTAACTGGCAATATCCCAGTTGTTAGCCTCGTTGGTTTGAATGCGTGACTCATTTTTAACATCGCCAAGAGCCCAGCAATCTATGAGTAAAGTTTTCTACTTAAAAGTAAGAAACGATGACCAGTGCTGGGCTTCCGGGTCTTACCTCAAAAGCACGCGGTTCTGGACTATTTGATTTGCATCGACCTTATCGAAACAGCCATATTGTCGATTGAGCTTGTCGATTTCCTTTCGCCCGGTGGCTTCTGAGTCAGCTTCGGTCGCGAGGTCATTCAGAATCTTGGCATTCATGGCCAGAATATGGAGAGCCAAGTCGACAGCATGCGTACCGAAGCCCCGGTCTTGGTCCTACGGCATGGCGCGTATGGCTTCCTCGAAGCAGAGGATAGAGGTTGACTGGAAAGTCTGGCTTCTGAGGTGAGGATGTGTCTGGAACCATGACTTGCTCGTGAATCAGCGAGACGCAGGCGCGAAGTGGATGTTGCGGGTGAGGGAAGAAAGGGCGAACGCACTCCGACAATTAAAGTCGTCCCGGCTCAGTCAAACCGCATCCCGATGCCACGGAAAGTACGGGCAAGTCAGGACCCACTGTTCTAACGACTTCACCTCACGAGCCTACAAACAGACGCGCCAGGTGTGTGGACCCGCTTCCCATGGTGTCACCGCCGAAAGTAGCCACTCCATAAACCTCTGTTTATGGAGCTTGATGATGCTCCAGCTGGCGAGCAGGGCCGGAAATGGGGATTTCAAGTACAGCGATATATTTTGCCTGCTCGCAAGCACTGTCGTCAAGTCCTGTGGCTCGGCTCATGGCGGAAGTGAGCGGACACCGCCACAACTGGAGGAATGGGGAGCAAGGCCATTCTCTTGCTTCATTGCTGCTCGCCATGTGCACAATCGCTATCAAAGTGGATTTTCGGAGCCCGACCTAGAGTGACGTAGGCTAGGAGTCGGAACGGGATCCTGCGGACAGGATACATGGCGAAGTAAGGTGCTCGCTGTGTGACTGGGGATAGTGACTCCATAATGATAATAAGAAGGCTCCCCAGAGGCAATTGCAGCGGCGTCGAAAGGCGATTTGTGGGTCCCGGATTTCCAAGGTAACAACTGGGATCTCGAAATGGATTTTGCAGTCGGGGATGTACCAGAGCAAGTAGAGTCGTGGTCGGATGGTGGAGAACGCCTTCCATGAGAGGTCAGAACCTGGTCCTGCAGAAGCTGGACATGGATTGTGCAGATAGAACACTTGGTAGAGCAAGAAAGCTCCTTGTTACATGGTCGGGGAGACTCTCGACCAAAGGCCGGAAATGGCTTCCGCATCATTGTCGCAGGTGCGCTACAACTGGCTTTCCAGACCATGGCTTTCCAATATATCAATAGGAGCCGGAAATGGGTCTTTGCAGGGACCATACACGGCACAGCAAGGTGCTTGCGGTGTAGCTGGGATGACTCATTTTGGGATCTTGGGAGCCCAAACAGGCTCCCAGCATGTTCCGGACTTTCCACTCCAGCAATTGAAAGCCAGATATGGATCTTGCAGTCACTGTAAGTAGTAGAGGAAGAAAGCTCCTTGTTGCGTGGCTGGGAAGACCAGCCGGAACCAGTTCCTGGCAAGAGTCAGACATGGATCGTGTACACAGGGTAGGTCGTGAAACAAGGAGGACCCTTGTTGCATGGCTGGGGACATCCTCCGCGAAAGGCCAGAACTGGCACTTGCCTCATCGTTGCGGCGACGTTGGAACTGGATCTCTAGGTCGCGGCATCCATTGCTACACGACAGGGCGAGAGCCTAGTCGCGTGGCTGGGCAGATCGTCTCCCAAAGGCACCTAAAGCCGGAATCGAAAAGTAAAAAATGGCCTTCCAAAAGAACCAGATTTGGATCTTGCTAACAGGGGACATGACTTAGCATGCAAGATCCTTGTCGTGTGGCTGGGGACAATCTCGCTCCAGACTCAGCCGGTTGAAGGGAGCTGGAAAAGGATTTTGCGGACAGTGAATAGCGACTAACAAGAGTCAAATCCAACTTTTTCAACATGGTAAATGGGGTGGTCGGTAAGGTCCTTGGTGTGTGGCTAGGAGGACGGGCCAAAACTGGCTTCTGGTAAGAGCCAGATACGGATGCTCAAGACAGGGGATCTATGTGAGCAAGTGAGATGCTGGCTGGGAGGGCCCTGCCCCAGTCGCCAGAAGCGACCACCAACAACGTGGTTGCAGCGGCATTGCATACTAACTTCTGGGTCTCGACTCTCCAGTACCGTGGATGAAGGCATATACGGATCTCAAGAAAAAGCCATATATCGGGACAAGCAGTATCCTTCATACAGGCTTGAGAATTCCTACTCCCGAGAGTCGAAACCGGTTCCTAGAAGGAGTCTGGTGTAGGTTTTGCGGAAGGGCGATGTACTGGTGCATGCAAGCTTCCTGTTGTTGGCTGGGGGTGCCTAGTCCCAAAAGGCAGAAGAGGCTCTTGGTAGCATGTAATTGCTCTGGCGCCAAAAGTTGATTTCAGAGCTCCCCAGCCTTGGTAACTGCAGGATGAACCGGTAATGGATCCTGCGGACAGGGTATGAGGTGGAAAGAAGTACCATGTAATAGTAGCTCTGAACAAGAGCTAGGTCTGGATATTGCTGACAGGGGAAATGGGTTGGCAGGTAAGGACCTTGGTGTGAGGCAAGAAAGACGGAGACCACTTAGGCTTAGCTCCTGGCAAGAGAGCCAAAGACGGATCTTGCAGGCAGGACGGGAAAAGCGGGGAGCAAGCAAGACCCTTGTCGCGTGGCTGGGAAGAGCTTACCCCGACAGCCAAAAGCGGCTCGAAGGGCGTAGCCCCAACGGCGACGAGTGCCAGCTTCTAGACCTCGACTTCTCAGTACATTAGATGGAGCCAGATACAGACTCTGCGAAAAGGCTTTATGTCGGGACGAGCAAGATCTTTACCCCAGGCTTGAGAATGGCCGCCATTAAGAGTCAGAATAGGCTCCTGGCATTTGGCTGCAGCTGTGCGGGACGGCAGTGCGGATGAGTAGGGCCTCGTTGCGTGGCTGGGGGTATTCACCATCTAGTCAGAATCGGCTCTTTGGAGTAATGAACCCCCAATGGTATGAAGGCAATCGGGGTTGGATGCCGACCTCGCGGACAGTGCACACAGCCAAGCAGGGCCCTTCTTGCTATGCTGGAAAGGCTCCTCCAAAAGCCGAAACTGGCTCCTAGCAAGAACTAGTTATGCGGCCGACGGACAGACGATGTGCTGGTACAGGCAAATTTCTTGTTCCTGGCTGGGATGCCCACTTCTAAAAACCATAATACCGGTATCCGTAGACTTTCATCAGCCCGTAATTGCACCAGTGCCAATGGTCGGTTTTCGGTCTCCGCTGTGAGAATTGCAGGACGAGCCGGTATTGGATCTTGTAGATAGGGCTTGTGGCGGAACGACCGGGATCCTGATTGTAAAGTTAAGGATACCCACCTTTGGAGCCAGAAACGGCTCTTAGCACCAGGATTGCGGCGCAAGACGTCGATTTCCAAACTCGACTGCGGGAACCAAAAAGTGAAAAGAAGACGCGGATTTTGAGGCCAGGATGTGGCGAAGAAAGCAAGATCCTTGTTGCATGGCCGAGAACACTCGATCTTTACTCAACTACTCAACTTGTCTGCGGGGCATTCACAAATACTTGCGGTAAGTAGACCAAGCTCAGCGTCCAAAACCGATCTCGAGCGGCGCCGTAAGGTGACAGGCACTTGCATCCAACCCCCACGTCAGTTTTGAGCCGAGCCAAAACAAACCATTCGAATACACATGCACCATGGAAGCCAACATCGCCATATCTAGTCTACAGATACGCCTTAGACCTCCTGCAAATACAGCACGCAGCACGCAGTGCACCTATGTAACGCATGCATAGAATGGCTCAATGTCAGCAGGAGCACGTATCGTCTGAACAGCAAAAATGCAGCAAAAATGCAGCAAAAATGCAGCTAACATCGCACACGACAGCGTCAACCGCGGGTCTGGAGTGGGTGTTTGATCCGTTTTCGACGTACTGGATGTAGAGAAGCGACTGAGTTCATACATCATGTACACATGAAACCAGCGAGCCTGACTCGGCAAATGCCTTTGGTTCCCCCAGCGTCGTGTTCTTTCGTTACATGAACCAAGATATCTCGCCCAATAGCCACAGAAATCCTTCCCTATGAAGCCGATTCCCCTAGATGTCGCGTGGCACATCTTCAACCATAGCGAACCCCACGTCCAGTCCCATTTCGCACGATGCTCGCACGCTTGGCATTCGTTCTTCAACCCCAAGCTGTACCGGCACGATGTCACGAACGGTCAGTATTCCGCCGTCTTTGAGACGATTGCCCACTGTACAGACACGCGCGTGGCCCTCGCCACACTTGAGCATACCCGCCGAGCCGGCGCTGACTACAATAAACCGACGACCATGTACATGACCGAAGCCCAACAGCCCAGCCCTTTTTTCGTCACGGCCCTGTACCTGGCCGCTTCGAAAGGCTATGCTGAGATCGTTTCGTTTCTCCTCGATCACGGTGCGGATATCGACGGGGTCCCGGACTGCCGGCTACGCACTCCCGTCTTCCTATCTCTTCTTAGCCGGGATGCGGAGACATCGATGGTCCTCCTTCGGCGTGGCGCACGCCTCGAGTCTCCCGAGTTCGGAATCAATGCGCTCCACCAAGCGGTCGCTGCGGGACTGACCGAAGTCATCACCTATC